GGGCAGGCTCTCTACAGGTGCACCAGCCGGGCAAGCTCTTTACAGGTGCACCAGCCGGGCAGGCTCTCTACAGGTGCACCAGCCGGGCGGGCTCTTTACAGGTGCACCAGCCGGACAGGCTTTCTACAGGTGCACCAGCCGGACAGGCTTTCTACAGGTGCACCAGCCGGGCAGGCTCTCTACAGGTGCACCAGCCGGACAGGCTCTCTACAGGTGCACCAGCCGGGCGGGCTCTCTACAGGTGCACCAGCTGGGCGGGCTCTTTACAGGTGCACCAGCCGGACAGGCTTTCTACAGGTGCACCAGCCGGACAGGCTCTCTAAGGTGCACCAGCCGGGCAGGCTCTCTACAGGTGCACCAGCCGGACAGGCTCTCTAAGGTGCACCAGCCGGACAGGCTCTCTACAGGTGCACCAGCCGGGCAGGCTCTCTACAGGTGCACCAGCCGGACAGGCTCTCTACAGGTGCACCAGCCGGACAGGCTTTCTACAGGTGCACCAGCCGGGCGGGCTTTCTACAGGTGCACCAGCCGGACAGGCTTTCTACAGGTGCACCAGCCGGGCGGGCTCTTTACAGGTGCACCAGCCGGACAGGCTTTCTACAGGTGCACCAGCCGGACAGGCTTTCTACAGGTGCACCAGCCGGACAGGCTCTCTAAGGTGCACCCGCCGGGCAGGCTCTCTACAGGTGCACCAGCCGGGCACCTGCTCTCTAAGGTGCACCAGCCGGACAGGCTCTCTAAGGTGCACCAGCCGGGCAGGCTCTCTACAGGTGCACCAGCCGGGCAGGCTCTCTACAGATGCACCAGCCGGGCAGGCTCTCTACAGGTGCACCAGCCGGGCAGGCTCTCTACAGGTGCACCAGCCGGGCAGGCTCTCTACAAGTGCACCTGCCGGGCAGGCTCTCTACAGGTGCACCGGCCGGGCGGGCTCTCTACAGGTACACCAACCGGGCAGGCTCTCTACAGGTGCACCAGCCGGGCAGGCTCTCTACAGGTGCACCATCCGGGCAGGCTCTCTATAGGTGCACCAGCTGGGCAGGCTCTCTACAGGTGCACCAGCCGGATAGGCTCTCTACAGGTGCACCAGCCGGGCAGGCTCTCTACAGGTGCACCAGCCGGGCAGGCTCTCTAAGGTGCACCAGCCGGGCAGGCTCTCTAAGGTGCACCAGCTGGGCAGGCTCTCTACAGGTGCACCAGCTGGGCAGGCTCTCTAAGGTGCATCAGCTGGGCAGGCTCTCTACAGGTGCACCAGCCGGGTAGGCTCTCTACAGGTGCACCGGCCGGGCGGGCTCTCTACAGGTGCACCAACCGGGCAGGCTCTCTACAGGTGCACCAGCCGGGCAGGCTCTCTACAGGTGCACCAGCCGGGCAGGCTCTCTACAGGTGCACCAGCCGGGCAGGCTCTTTACAGGTGCACCAGCCGGGCGGGCTCTCTACAGGTGCACCAGCCGGGCGGGCTCTTTACAGGTGCACCAGCCGGACAGGCTTTCTACAGGTGCACCAGCCAGACAGGCTTTCTACAGGTGCACCAGCCGGGCAGGCTCTCTACAGGTGCACCAGCCGGACAGGCTTTCTACAGGTGCACCAGCCGGGCGGGCTCTCTACAGGTGCACCAGCCGGGCGGGCTCTTTACAGGTGCACCAGCCGGACAGGCTTTCTACAGGTGCACCAGCCGGACAGGCTCTCTAAGGTGCACCAGCCGGACAGGCTCTCTACAGGTGCACCAGCCGGGCAGGCTCTCTACAGGTGCACCAGCCGGACAGGCTCTCTACAGGTGCACCAGCCGGACAGGCTTTCTACAGGTGCACCAGCCGGGCGGGCTTTCTACAGGTGCACCAGCCGGACAGGCTTTCTACAGGTGCACCAGCCGGGAGGGCTCTTTACAGGTGCACCAGCCGGACAGGCTTTCTACAGGTGCACCAGCCGGACAGGCTCTCTAAGGTGCACCCGCCGGGCAGGCTCTCTACAGGTGTACCAGCCGGGCACCTGCTCTCTAAGGTGCACCAGCCGGACAGGCTCTCTAAGGTGCACCAGCCGGGCAGGCTCTCTACAGATGCACCAGCCGGGCAGGCTCTCTACAGATGCACCAGCCGGGAAGGCTCTCTACAGGTGCACCAGCCGGGAAGGCTCTCTACAGGTGCACCAGCCGGGCGGGCTCTCTACAGGTGCACCAGCCGGGCAGGCTCTCTACAGGTGCACCGGCCGGGCGGGCTCTCTACAGGTGCACCAACCGGGCAGGCTCTCTACAGGTGCACTAGCCGGGCAGGCTCTCTACAGGTGCACCAGCCGGGCAGGCTCTCTATAGGTGCACCAGCTGGGCAGGCTCTCTACAGATGCACCAGCCGGACAGGCTCTCTACAGGTGCACCAGCCGGGCAGGCTCTCTACAGGTGCACCAGCCGGGCAGGCTCTCTAAGGTGCACCAGCCGGGCAGGCTCTCTAAGGTGCACCAGCTGGGCAGGCTCTCTACAGGTGCACCAGCTGGGCAGGCTCTCTAAGGTGCACCAGCTGGGCAGGCTCTCTACAGGTGCACCAGCCGGGCAGGCTCTCTACAGGTGCACCAGCCGGGCAGGCTCTCTACAGGTGCACCAGCCGGGGGGGCTCTCTACAGGTGCACCAGCCAGGCAGGCTCTCAAGAGGTGCACCAGCCGGGGGGGCTCTCTACAGGTGCACCAGCCGGGCTTGGCTAGTGTTCCTGTAGCACTAGTACCATAATGGCTCGGAGATCCTGGGACTCCTGTATAAAATCTTTCTTTGGCAACTGAGAGACCGTAAAGGTATAATATCTAGTTTATTGTTACCAGAAACCTGCTCACATGTAGGCAACACCTGTTTACAGGTACACAACACCTGTTCACAGGTACACAACACCTGTTCACAGGTACACAACACCTGTTCACATGTAGGCAACACCTGCTCACAGGTACACAACACCTGCTCACATGTAGGCAACACCTGCTCACAGGTACACAACACCTGCTCACATGTAGGCAACACCTGCTCACAGGTACACAACACCTGCTCACATGTACACAACACCTGTTCACAGGTACACAACACCTGCTCACATGTACACAACACCTGCTCACATGTACACAACACCTGCTCACAGGTACACAACACCTGTTCACGGGTACACAACACCTGCTCACAGGTACACAACACCTGTTCACGGGTACACAACACCTGCTCACAGGTACACAACACCTGTTCACGGGTACACAACACCTGCTCACAGGTACACAACACCTGTTCACGGGTACACAACACCTGTTCACGGGTACACAACACCTGTTCACAGGTACACAACACCTGTTCACAGGTACACAACACCTGTTCACAGGTACACAACACCTGTTCACGGGTACACAACACCTGTTCACGGGTACACAACACCTGTTCACAGGTACACAACACCTGTTCACGGGTACACAACACCTGCTCACAGGTACACAACACCTGTTCACGGGTACACAACACCTGCTCACAGGTACACAACACCTGTTCACAGGTACACAACACCTGCTCACAGGTACACAACACCTGTTCACAGGTACACAACACCTGTTCACAGGTACACAACACCTGCTCACAGGTACACAACACCTGTTCACGGGTACACAACACCTGCTCACAGGTACACAACACCTGCTCACAGGTACACAACACCTGTTCACAGGTACACAACACCTGTTCACAGGTACACATCACCTGCTCACAGGTACACAACACCTGCTCACAGGTACACAACACCTGTTCACAGGTACACAACACCTGTTCACAGGTACACAACACCTGCTCACAGGTACACAACACCTGTTCACAGGTACACAACACCTGTTCACGGGTACACAACACCTGCTCACATGTAGGCAACACCTGTTTACAGGTACACAACACCTGTTCACAGGTACACAACACCTGTTCACAGGTACACAACACCTGTTCACAGGTACACAACACCTGTTCACATGTACACAACACCTGTTCACAGGTACACAACACCTGTTCACAGGTACACAACACCTGTTCACAGGTACACAACACCTGTTCACAGGTACACAACACCTGTTCACAGGTACACAACACCTGTTCACAGGTACACAACACCTGCTACTCCCGAAGTCTTGGTGTACTATCTACACCATGCGCTGTCTCGCTGAAGAAGAGAGGTGGTCTCCTAGGCACTGCATTACCAAGCAGTGATAAACGCTGTCTCCTGATGTTAGTTATGAGTTAATAATATTTTCATGGGTTGTTGCATTTATGTTTTCGGCTAGTTAAGGCTAGTATTAAATTAGTTGATATTCTGACAGTTATTGATAGAACACAATCACTTGTGTTGTCCCGCGTTGAGTACTGCTCAATACTCACTCTCCCCTTCAGAGCAGGAGAGATTGCTGAAATAGATGGAATACAGTACGGAATACTTATATATGTATACTTATATAGATGGAATACTTTCGGCAAGCATAGACGCGATAAAGCACCTAAACTATTAGGATCGTCTCAAAGCTCTCCAAATGTACTCACTAGAAAGGAGACGAGAGAGATACCAAATAATATACATATGGAAAATACTGGAGAGCCAGGTTCCTAATCTATACAGTAAAATAACAACGTACTGGAGTGAACGATATGGAAGAAAAGCAGAATAGAACCAGTGAAGAGCAGAGGTGCCATAGGCACAATCAGAGAACACTATAAACATCAGAGGTCCGCGGTTGTTCAACATCCTACCAGCGACTATTAGAAAAATTGGCGGAACAACCGTGGAGATCTTCAAGAGAAAACTAAATAGTTTTCTTCAAGGAGTGCCGGGCTGTTGTGGGCATGTGGGCCTGCGGGCCGCTCCAAGCAACAGCCTGGTGGACCAAACTCTCACAAGTCAAGCCTGCCCTCAGGCGGGGCTGGGGGAGTAGAAGAACTCCCAGAACACCATCAACCAGGTATCCACCAGCTTATTTTTCTCGTGATGCTTTGAGTAATTTCTTATTACAGTCAGATTGTCGCATTCTTTTAATCTTAGATTTATGTAAATAAATTGACTTTTTCTTGACTATTATTTTGTCTTCCAACAGGAAGGCAAAATGTCCTTTATGCTAAATGTTCTCTGTCCAACTCCTGTTGGACACGTGCCTGCGGTCCTCTGTTGGTCTCCTGTTGTTCCACACGTGCCTGCGGTCCTCTGTTGGTCTCCTGTTGTTCCACACGTGCCTGCGGTCCTCTGTTGGTCTCCTGTTGTTCCACACGTGTCTGCGGTCTCCTGTTGTTCCACACGTGTCTGCGGTCTTCTGTTGTTCCACACGTGTCTGCGGTCTCCTGTTGTTCCACACGTGTCTGCGGTCTCCTGTTGTTCCACACGTGTCTGCGGTCTTCTGTTGGTCGTCAGAACATAACAGTGAGGAAGTCAATAACAGCGGCATTAACATTTTCAGTATTAATTAACACAATAAAACTGAACCCCGATATTAACATTCCCAACTTTATTAACAATATAGAGAAAATTAATTAATTATGTATTAAACACAATAGGCTTAAAAGGGGGGGGGGAGGGGGCCACAGTTCCCCATCCCACAGGCATGGTGGAGGATACATGTATCTCTACCGAAACCTGTTGTAGAGGACACCTGTATCTCTCCCAGCACCTGTTGAAGAGGACACCTGTATCTCTCCCAGCACCTGTTGTAGAGGACACCTGTATCTCTCCCAGCACCTGTTGTAGAGGACACATGTATCTCTTCCAGCACCTGTTGTAGAGGACACATGTATCTCTTCCAGCACCTGTTGTAGAGGACACATGTGTCTCGCCCAGCACCTGTTGTAGAGGACACATGTGTCTCTCCCAGCACCTGTTGTAGAGGACACATGTGTCTCCCAGCATCTGTTGTAGAGGACACATCTGTCTCAGCACCTGTTGTAGAGGACACATGTGTCTCTCTCAGCACCTGTTGTAGAGGACACATGTGTCTCTCCCAGCACCTGGTGTAGAGGACACATGTGTCTCAGCACCTGTTGAAGAGGACACATGTGTCTCTCTCAGCACCTGTTGTAGAGGACACATGTGTCTCTCCCAGCACCTGTTGTAGAGGACACATGTGTCTCTCCCAGCACCTGTTGTAGAGGACACATGTGTCTCTCCCAGCACCTGTTGTAGAGGACACATGTGTCTCTCCCAGCATCTGTTGTAGAGGACACATGTGTCTCTCCCAGCACCTGTTGTAGAGGACACATGTGTCTCTCCCAGCACCTGTTGTAGAGGACACATGTGTCTCCCAGCATCTGTTGTAGAGGACACATCTGTCTCAGCACCTGTTGTAGAGGACACATGTGTCTCTCTCAGCACCTGTTGTAGAGGACACATGTGTCTCTCCCAGCACCTGGTGTAGAGGACACATGTGTCTCAGCACCTGTTGAAGAGGACACATGTGTCTCTCTCAGCACCTGTTGTAGAGGACACATGCGTCTCTCCCAGCACCTGTTGTAGAGGACACATGTGTCTCTCCCAGCACCTGTTGTAGAGGACACATGTGTCTCTCCCAGCACCTGTTGTAGAGGACACATGTGTCTCTCCCAGCATCTGTTGTAGAGGACACATGTGTCTCTCCCAGCACCTGTTGTAGAGGACACATGTGTCTCTCCCAGCATCTGTTGTAGAGGACACATGTGTCTCTCCCAGCACCTGTTGTAGAGGACACATGTGTCTCGTCCACCAGTTACCAAGTATCATACCTGTCGTGTCAAGTGAAAGACAATATATCCGTTAGAGCAAGAAGAGGACATCTTGACCCCACTATGACCCCGGGGGTCACTTGCCGTTGGTGGTGGCAGATTTCATCTCCTATTCTGTATCCTGTGTCTGGCCTCCGGTTTCCGCCGCCTAGTTTCATTACTTTACATTTACTTGGGTTGAACTTTAGTAGCTATTTGTTGGACCATGCCCTGTGGAAATGGTCCAACAAATGATCCTAGGACTGATCCCTATGGGACTCCACAGGGATCCCGGTGGTGACGCCTCGCCAGCCTGAGGTCTCACCCCCTCACTGTAATTCTCTGCTTCCTATTGCTTAGGTACGCCCTTATCCACTGGAGCGCCCTACCTATGGGGTACTGTGTCAAAGGCTTTCCGACAGTCCAGGAAAATGCACTTCGCCCAGTCTTCTCTTTTTTGCTTAATCTTTATCACCTGATGGTTAAATTTTATTTAACCTGTGAGGCAAGATTTAACCTCCCAGAACCCATGTTGATGGGTTGTCACGAAGTACCTTCTCTCCAGATGTGTTACTAGGTTTTTTCTCACGATCTTCTCCATCACCTTGCATGGTATACAAGTTAAGGACACTGGACTGTAGTTCAGTGCCTCTTGCCAGTCACCCATTTTGTATATTGGGACTACATAGCCGTCTTCCATATTTCTGGTAGGTCTCTCGTCTCCAGTGACCTACTTTACACTATGGAGAGTGGCAAGCAAAGTGCTTCTGCACACTCTTTCAATACCTATGGTGAGATTCCGTCCAGACCAACAGCCTTTCTCACATCCAGATCCAACAGGTGCCTCTCGACCTCATCTCTGGTCATTTTGAACACTTCCAAGACCGCCTGGTTTACTGCCTCCTCTCCTAGCTCAGGGACTTCCCCTCGTTCTGTTACGAAGACCTCCTGGAATCTCTTGGTGAGTTCTTCACACACCTCTTTGTCATTCTCTGTATACCTGTCCTCACCCGTTCTCACTTTCATCACCTGTTCTTTCACTGTTGTTTTTATCCTGATGTGACTGTGGAGTAACTTTGGTCTTGGTCTTGGCTTTATTTGCTATATCATTTTCATACTGTCTCTCTTCCTCTCTTCTCACACTGACATACTCATTTCTGGTTCTCTGGTATCTCTCTCTCTGCTTTTTGGTGTTCTGTTATTTCAGAAGTTCCTCCACACTCTTTGTTCAGTTCCTTTACTTCCATACATGCCCTATTAAACCATGGATTCTTCTTTTGCTTCTCATTTCATTTTTCTTTTTGGGGCCGGGATAAATCTGCTTACTGCCTCCTGACACTTTTGGGTGACATAGTCCATCATGTCTTGTGTAGACTTAGCTCTGAGTTCTGTGTCCCATGGTATATCCCTTAGGAAACTTCTCATCTCCTCATAATTCCCCTTTCGGTACGCCAGCCTTTTGTTTCATAGTTCTGTTTTTGGTGGGAGATAATTTCTAATTCTACCAGGTACTCAAAGATCAATACACTGTGATCACTCATTCCCAAGGGTGCTTCCAATTTAACTTCTCTTATATCCCACTTATTTACGGTAAATATCAGATCAAGCAAGGCTGGTTCATCCTCTCCTTTCATTCTTGTTGGTACCGTGATGTGTTGGCTTAGAAAGTTTCTTGTTGCCACGTCCAGCAGCTTAGCTCTCCATGTGTCTGGTCCTCCATGTGAGTCTCTGTTCTCCCACTATCGTCCCGTGGTTGAATTCTCCCATGATTAGTAGTCTGGATCCGTTCCTGCTAGCGACAGAATCTGCTCTCTCTATTATATTAATGGTAGCCATGTTATTTCAATCACTTTCCTGTCTTGGTCTTTTGTCATTTGGTTTGGGTTATATATGACTGCTACTGTAAGTTTTTGTCCCACAATTGTTATGGTACCTGTTATGTAGTTACTGAAACCTTCACAGCCCTGAATAACCGTCTCCTCAAAACTCCAGTGTCTTCGTATCAGCAGAGCTGCTCCACCTCTTCCTTCCCTCCCTCTCTTTCCTAACTACATAATATTCCTGTAGAAACACTGCATATGTTATGGTTTCGATTAGCTTTGTTTCTGTGAACGCTATTATGTCGGGGTTTTCTTTTAGTGCCCATTCTCCAAGTTCACTTATTTTATTTGTAACCCCATCTATGTTTGTATACATTACCTTGAAGCTCACTTTCTCCTGTCCATTCTTGTTTCCTCTGCTTGGTGGTCTTTCTCTTGATGGAGGAAGTCGTTCCTTAGGTGTGAGGATTTGTGAGGTGGTTAACAGGGTGTCAGAGGATTCTGAGGCCTGGGGTGCCAGGTGTACTCCCGCCTACCTTGCAAGTTTGAAGAGCACTCTCATGTGTGGTACTGTATCAAAGGCTTTTTAGCAGTCTAGAAATATGCAGTCTGCCCATTCTTCTCTGTCCTGTCTTATCCTTGATATTTTATCATAGAATTCCGAAAGGTTTGTTAGACACGATTTCCCTTTCCAGAACCCATGTTAATGTTTGTTTAGAAACCTAATGTTCTCCAGGTGTGCAATCAGTCTTAGCCTAATAATTCTTTCAAGTATTTTGCGGGGGGATGCTTCAGTGATACGGGTCTCTAGTTAAGTGCCTCCTCCCTATCTCCTACCTTGAAAATTGGCGACACATTTGCCTTCTTCCAGCAACTGGACAATTCTCCCGACATAAGTGACTCCTTAATGATCATTGCCAGAGGCACGCTGAGGGCCTGCATTGCCTCTTTTAGTATCCACGGTGATACTCTGGTCCAACCTCTTATGTTGCTTTCAGTGTTGTCAACTGTTACATTACCTCCTGTGCTGTCACCTCTATACCTGATAGTCTTTTCTGGGGGTAATCTCCTCCAACAATGGGAGCTGCTCAGGCTCAGTTGTGAACACTCCATGGAAACTGGCAGTCAGTGCCTCGCAGATTTCCTTATCACTTTCTGTAGATTCCCCCACTGTTTTCCTCAGTCTTGTCACTTGGTCGGTCACCGACATTTTTCTTCTTATATGGCTGTGTAGTAATTTAGGTTGCTTTTTCGCTTTAATCGCAATATCGTTCTCACAATTTGTTTCCAATAATACCCTTATGTTAATGCAATCGTTCATAGTTCTGTCGCATCTGATCCTGTTGTCCTCTGTCTTTTGTCTTCTGTACTTCCTCCACTCCCGCCTGCTGCCATTTTAGCTTCCTGACACTGTCTATTAAACCATGGGTTATTATATTCCCTCTTATTTTGTCCCTTTACTGTTGGTATAAATCTCTCTTCGGCCTCCTGGCATTTCCGTATGACTAGGTC